TGATCAGCAGGTGCTCTGAACCACTGAGCCATAGCTATAGCCCAAGACAGGGTCTCTTACTGACCTGGAGCTCACTGAGTAATCTAGTCTGGTTGGCCAGTGAGCCCTAAGGATCCATCCCTGTCCTCTTTACATATGGTTGTTGCAACACATTTTTTTTAAAAACTTGATTCAGGGTCTGGGCAAGCTTGAGTTCTCATGCTTCCACTGTTAGGACTTCGACAATGAAGGCTTGGAAATCAGGGTTCACCAGACCCAGTAGAAATGAAGCGGAAATTGTTTGGGGAAAGGAACTTACACAGAAAACAGTAAATGACTGTTGAGGAGTTCCTGCTCCAAGGATGCAGACCCTGTCTCCTGGATGCTCTCCATGACCCAAAGGGGCCCCAATTTCCAATTCTCTCCCTTTAACACGACAGACCCTATAACCACGCCCCAAAGGCGTGGCCAGTGTTACAGGCACTCAGGCAAAAATATCACTACACAACTGAACTCTCTCCAGAACAGGTTGGTATCACTGTGTGAAAGGATTTATCAGTAAAGCCATATTCCCGGCATTTCCCCTGTGACAACAGTTTTTAATTCATGCATTCAGTTATTTTAATGAACACAAATATTTGTCTATTTTTTTCTTGTGGCAGCATTATCTTGTGATACCATTTGTCTACAAGAAGAGTCAGAAAACTATAGTTGTTCATATTTACAGCTTTATTAAGGTACAGCCAACTCCCTTACACAGTGCAGTGTGCACGGTGCATGGTGCCTGCTGCCTGCTGCATCTGTACTATTGTAGTAGAGCTAAGCGGGCAGGGGTGTGAGGCCCAGAGAGCCCCATGCATGGAATACCTGGCCCTCTGCAGAAAAACATTTCCCGCTTTATTCTTCATGTATATGTAAACACTGGAGACTTTCATTTCTTGGTGTGTGTGTGTATGTTTGTATATGTGTATATTTTTGTTTAAATAACACCCAGAAAACACTTGCCTATTATGATTTTAATAGCCCCAAGTGACTGGACATTAACTATGTCTACCTGATAAAATATGCTTTGCACACATCATAGAATGTAAATTCTTAAAACAAAACACAGAGACTGAATACCTCTTTATAGCTGAAAGAACAAAAAAATAATTAAATCACACTAAGAATACCCCATCCAAATAGTGGTAAGGGAAAAGAATAGACTCTCCTATTATATTTTATGAAATTATTACAATTTAATATCAAACTCAGACATATTCCACGTTAAAAAGAGAACTTATAGATCTCATTGTCCTCATTTATGATAATAAATACAAAATAACTGAGTGAAATATTTCTAGGTTGAATATAAATAAAAATGTTTTATAAGCACACAAAAATTTTAATACTAGGAAAAAAATCTATTAGCTTACTAAAAACTAAAGAAGGAAATTATATGATCATTTCCAAAACACACAGACTATTAAGCACTCAATACAAATCCAACAATTTGTGCTAAAAATTGTCATCAAGGCAGAAATAGAGGGGCATTCTCTACCCTTCAGACAGTCTACAAGAGAACTGTGGTGGTACATAAGGGTAAGTTACTGTTCTCTGTAAAACCATCAGTTCTGCAGAGATGTCTGCTCCCTCCATTTCAACGCTTGCTGGAGGAATCCAAGTGCTTTTCCAGCAAGAACTGTCCAGCAGCCAAGGGACTGCTTAGCAAAAAGCAGCAGCAGATGAGATGGCTGGTGAGCTTCATCTACTAGACATCAGAATACAAACTGATGAGGCTGCCAATGTGACAGCAGAGTGATGAATTCAGAAAAGCACCCACACGCTCACCGAAGCCTGGCACAATGCACAGGCACACCGCACGTCAGCAGGAAGAGGGTGCATAATGAACCAGGAAATCTGGAGACACCGCACATTTAAAAGCCTGAACATACTACCAGATTTAATTAATAAATAATAAAAGTGAAAATGAATATGTATAAGTTTTTTTAAAAAATAAAATATATGGAAATGTGTTAATAATTTCGGGATTAGGGAAAATTTCTTAAGAAAGCACTTATTGTAAATAATTAAACATGAAGAAAATATTTACATATTAATACTAAGCAGCTTGGGACACTAAAACACACCATAAATAAGTTGAAATAAAATGCCCCAAAGCGAGAAAACTATTTCCAACACGCATGTCTAATAAATAATGCCCAGAAAAATGTATAAAGAACGCTTATAATCAATTACCAAAAGACAACCACAAGTCAGGCTTTCTCTTCTAGCTACTCTGTATATTAAGGAGGATTGGAAATTTACGACCTGCCTTGGCTACAGGGCGAGTTCAAGGCCACATTGGAAATCAGTGCTACACCATCTAATGAAACTAGAAGAACAAACCCAGTTAGAGATACAGTTCAGGGGTAGAGCATATGGCTAGCCTGTGTAGCCCTAGGTTCAAATCAACTTTGGTAATTAGGGAATTGAAAACTCAAACTATGACGGAACACTGTCAGGGCCAAAGATGTGGCAACAGGAATGCTTGTGGAAGCCTAAGATGTCTACAACTATTTTGGGAAACACTTAGCATTTCTAAAGTCAAAAACATACATATTCTATGGTCTAGAAATGCCTCACCTAGAAACAGAGCTTTATAAACACACATATACACTCACACAGATATGCATGAGAATGTATTAAAATCTTGGAAATTAGGTCTGAAATGTGTGATTAAAAAACACAATTTCTAAACTGGCACATATTGTAATCCCAAACTTTGGTAAAGTGGGGCAGGAGGATTGTCATATTTTTAAGGTCAGCCAGGGTTTCATGGCAAGACCCTGCCTCAATAAATAAGAGACAAAGCAAAAAAAGTAAAACTACTAAAATTAATCTTCATAGAAACCATAAGTAGTTTTTCATAGACTTATCATTTAGTTAATAAATTTACTAATAAGCATTTCTTTTCCTCTTGGAAGTGAGATAAAACACACCAGGCAAATCAGTTTTAGATGAAGAATGAATAGTTTTGGGTTTGTTTTGTTTGTTAATACTGATAATCATATGTACTTTAATCACAAAAGATCACATCAAGTATTTATAAAATAAAAATCTTTTCTGAAGATACCTTCTATTTAACAAGGATTAAAAGAGCATAAAACTTTATCCTTATCATCTGTGAATGAAATAACTTGTGTTTTAATAGCTTAATCGGAAAACACAAAGGAGGTAACAGTAATATGAAAAGAGCCTGGTGTCCTGTGGTCTTCCTTAATAACAACCCACTTTCAAGAGCCTATAATCTACTCAACAGAAAGCCTTCCATCAAAGACCTTAATCAGATTCTGAGAAAACTCACACACAAAATAAACAACAGGTCACTAAAACCCAAACAATCAGGCATTAGAAGCTTTACAAAAGGCTAGGCCCTACGTGATGAATCATTTCTAAAAAGATGAGAAGATTAAGTCCTTCAAGTGTTTTCTATTCAAGCAGAAAACATATAAAGGTAGGGAGCCAGTTAGCCACTAGCAGAGTGCGAGATCTTTCATTGTACACATTCTGGTTTGGCTTTTATGCAAGCATCAAAAAAAGGATGGCAAAAATGAGTCTCTCTTCCTACATGTTAATGCTGACTTTTTCTTTGTTTTCTCAAGGCATTGTACTTTCAGCTTCCAAGTCCATAAGAAACCTAGAGGACGACATGGTGTTTAATACATTTAGGATGGGAAAAGCCTTCCAGAAGGAAGACACTGCAGAAAGATCAGTCGTTGCCCCTTCTTTGGAACAATATAAAAATGATGACAGCGGTTTCATGAACGACGATGAAGGCAAAAATTCAAAGGTAAGTACATGTAGTCTGACTTTTATTACGATGGTAATGAAAATGATGTTTATAATTATAAATCACAGAAAAGTAAATTTGATATTTTAATTTTACAAATTGGAATACATGCAGAGTCAGTCTGCATTAAGGTAAATAGTATAATTTCATACATATCAGGTACTGACCCATCTCATCAAAAACCTTTGTTTCTTGTATCTAAGATATTTTAGAAGTGACAAACAGTGTAGAATATCTTAGAACTTATCAGCAAGAATGTTGTGCCACTGTATTTAGCGCTATTCTAAAGAAGACACCTGGAATACAAACCAACCTTCTCTTCACAGAACACAGGCTCCAAACAGAACCTCATTAACCATGGTCTGCCACTGAATCTGGCTCTAAAACCTTACCTCGCTCTAAAAGGATCAGTAGCTTTTCCAGCTGAGAATGGAATTCAGAATACTGAGTCAACACAAGAAAAAAGAGAAATTGGGGATGAAGAAAACTCAGCTAAGTTTCCTATAGGAAGGAGAGATTTTGACAGTGAGTAGCCTTTTACAAATTCAATTCCTACATTTTAATTCTATAAAAAAGAGCCCTGAGCTTAACTGATTTGGATCTGACCATAACAAAATCGAGTAAGACCATGGTTCACATTCACCAGACAACAGGTGACCCTGTCAAAATGGGGAATTTTTAAGTCAGTAATTGTGGTTTGATTCATTCAGAGTTCATTATAGCAGGTCCACGTTCTTTCTTAACCCTGTGAGGTAATGGCAGTGGCTGTTTGCTCTCTTTCAGTGCTCAGGTGCATGCTGGGAAGAGTCTACCGACCCTGCTGGCAAGTCTGATACCTGCTGGTCCACGTCCTCCTTTCAGAAGAAAACAACTCACTGCTTGTGGGGAGAAAGGCCCTCAATGTTGACATGACCTGTGTACTGCCCTAACTGCCTGCTTTAAAATCGTTAAGATACGGACTAATCCAAATGATGTGCTTTGGCTTGTGCATTAAACTTCATAAAAATTCTGCATAATTCTGACTTGCTGGTCTTTCATTTTTGATCAGTGGTTAACATGTGCACCTCGCACAGCATGCATGTATCAAAATAATAAAGCATCAGAATGTACATCTTGATATTTAAAAATTAGCTCATGGCTTTGGTAAATGGTCTTATATACCTAAACCTAAAGCGTGTAGATGACAAAATCACAGCCTAAAGAACTGCGTTAGCTTGGTCTGGCCAGGGATCAGTGAGCCCTTGGCAGGGCACCTGCCCCCTTTTTTTCCTCGGGCTAGTCTGCAGCCAGCTTTGTTGTGTGAGTCACTGGATACTTTAGGGAACTTAACATTTTTATGTTGCTGTGGTTCATTTCCATCCTCACAGAGAATACTATCACTGTCTAAATCCACCTGTTTCCTTTTTGATATTTTATTTTCTGTCGATTTTCTTGGTATTTTGTCGTCGTTACTTCTATCCAGATGCACATTTCCAGAACTTGTTTCGATTCTTGCTCTTACAACAGAGGGATGTGCACTTTCTGTTATGAAGAATGGCAAGGGGGAAAGGAATCATATAATTCAGTGTCATAAATCATGAGACATAAAACAATCATTAAAATGACTAGAATATTTAAAGACATTATTTGTAACATAATAATTCTACCTAATTATCGTTTTACTATTTCATTTTAATATTCCTCCTTTTATCCCAACAATGAATATCTATGTAAAAATACAACCAGTAAATACTAAGAATTATTTTTTTAAATCTACTTAGTTATTCAGATTAAATTATATCCTGTTCCTAGTCATAAATTTGTGGTTAGATTCAATTTCTTAAACAAATCCAGGCCTTAAAAAACAAGTCTTTACATTTCTTAGTACTTTGCAAAAATAATTGGTTGACTAATTATTCAAACAAGGTTAATTACCAGAAACGTCATGCAGCGGCTCTGGTGACAAATTAACATTCCATTTACTCTTGCTCGTCATGCAGTCATCTTTATAAGTACAAGCAAACTGTGACCTAATTAAGGTCTGCCTCATCTGATAACAAAAAAAAAAAATATGCAATTATATTTTGTCTTATTTTCCATTTAGTTATGCACATGCTCCCGAGTAACTGACACACAATGTAAAGACTGTTCTTACAAACCCCATCAGTCACTGGGAACTGTTATCTATATTTCGTTTCAGTTTTCAAACTCACTTGTTACTATGGCTAGCCTCTTAGCTCTTTTTAACAACATCTATCTTTATCTAAATGTTTAATATTCTTACAACAGTTCTAAAATTCAATTCTGTACACTTTGGCCTGTGTTGGAATGTTATGATAACTGAATATATACATACAATCATAAAAAACTGGGAGTTCCATAAAGTGTGAGAGAAAAGTAGTGAACATTATTAAAGAAATTGGTAGAAGACAAAAATGGGAATTGAGAAGTTAAAAGAAACAGAAATAGCTAACTTTTAACAAGAGGAGCACAAACATCATGGGAAGACATTACTTCTTGGTTAAAACAAATATCTGGGAAAACCAGGGTTCTTAACTATATCATTATAGACTCAATGAAGAGTTTTAATGGTTAAAATTTCAAAACATACACTTGTATTTAACCTCAGAGATAAGAAATGAAAGCCCAACTTTCTCATAAACAGAAGAAAGTCAGACAGATAAAGTTGGTTCTAAGCAGGGTATAGTGACATACAGCTGTCACCCTAACACTGCGAGCTACAAAGCTGAAGGTCGGCCTGGATTATACACTACGACACTTGAGGACAAGAAAGGAGGCAAAAGGGAAAGGCGGAAAGTTGTTCTATGAAATAGGGCAGGAAAAAAGAAAAGCAGTTTGGAAATGCATCCTGCATATATGCAACTGCTGAGCTATTATAGGAGTAGGAATACACTTCAGAACATCTAGTCTACACATATAAAGTGAATATACCATCAATTATTCTTGGTCCATAACCATTAATTATTATGGAATGATTTCTCCAAATGATTAGAAGCTAGCTCATATCCTTTTAATACTTCAAGTTATGCTTATATTATGTTGGATATTACTGTTTATTGATTAAAACGCAGTTATACATTATATTCAACAACTACATTTTGTTATATAATCAGGGCCAGTGTTCTAACTCACTCATATGTCTGCAAAGACGATAGCAATAAAACCACTGGCCATGGGTTAAAAGACGTGAGAATGGTCTCCTCATAAAAGTTCAGTTCATTTAGAATGGTAACTTAGCTTTAAAACTAATGCAAACCACTCCCATATTAGTAAAAGTTGTGCTCTCATTTTTCAGAACTAGACATTTGGAGTTTGTTAATCACAAAGAAGTGAAAAGCTGTAAAAAAAAAAAAAGTGTAAAAATGTACAAGACTGAAAAGCTGTGTTTTACAAACAGCAGAGAAGAATAGGCAGCTGACAGCGAGTGGCAGCCACCAGCACTCACTGGACCTCGGTGAGTCCTAGTAAATACAACTTCTGCTGTGCCATTTCACCACAAGCCTTCCTACAACTCACAGCTCTGGGGTAACTCTTTCTACTGCTTACAAAGAATTATAAAGTTATAAAGAGAGCCAAATGTGATGGTGAACACACTTAACCTTAGCCTTCTGGAGACTGAGGCAGTATAAAGTTCTAGTTCAGCCTGGGCTACACAGTGCCACCAGCTCATTCCCTTCCTCCCACAAACAAGTCATAAAAAGTATTAAGACCAGATGGGCCAATACTGGTTTAGGCCATTCCCTTAACAAGCAGAGAGTGGTGGGACCTACAAGTCACTTCTGCCCATTAGGAAACCTTCAGTGCAGGGCAGTGGTGGCGCATGCCTTTAATCCCAGCTCCCTCCCTCTTACCCTCCCTGCCCTCCCAGGCACCCTGACCACCCTCCTCTCCCATCCCCCCACCCCAATTCCACATGTAGGGCAATGCCATCCAGGTGGGGTCATGTGAATCTAAGACAGCATGTTCTTATAGCAAGAAGGGCAGATACAGGTGAGAAGGAAATGACTAACCCTGAAACGCACATCACAATTCAAAAAGCTTAAGAGTTCTATGTGATCTTGGAATGGTGTGTCTAAAACAGCAAAGAGTAGCTACATTGAGTTTTCGGCCTGTATGCTTGTTTGTGACACAATCTCACCAGCAGCCCAAATAGCCTCAAACTTCAGATCCTCCCTGCCACTGGAGTGTAGGGCTGCAGGGATTATGGATATGCCCCAGGACATTCAACTCAGATAATATTTCTGTTTTCTTTACTCTCTCCCTACAGAAAAATCTTTTAACATAAAGTGCTATTTATTGAGTTTCTATGCTACATAATAGGCAGAGTAATCAATCAAGAGATAACCAGAATGGCTTCTATAATCACAAAGTGATTTTATTTATAAAATCTTCTCTTGACACAAGCTGGAAGGAATTACAAAGACTGAAAACTTCCAGACTCTAACCACATAAAAAATAAAAGGAAAAAAATGGATTCAGAAAGACAAAGTCCTACATTTAGATTAAAAAATATCAGGTATAGGTGTACAAGACTAAGGTAAGCTAGCTATAGGGCAACAAATGAAATCACAGATCTGTAGGTTTTAATTAATCATGAATCTGACTGAAGTCAACAGAATGATGTCTAACAAAACACGCAAACAAGGGCAAGGTAATGTGTGATGGGGAAAGACACGACTTCTCACAGTAGCTCTATTTCTTTTCAACTACATAATGTTTTTAAATTACTTTCATACTGTGTGTGTGTTCCCTTGTCTCAAACACCAAAATCAGGGGTACAGATATTATGAATATACCCTATGATGTATGTATGCATGGAGACATACACATTCTGGAGATCTAATAAAGATGCTGGATAGCTATTATAACACAGATGAAGCAGGTATTCCTATAAAGTAAGTTCTGCTGGATCAAATTTCTCAGGCCCAGGCCATTCTAAAGAGATTCTAGAATGTAGTTCAGCATCTTCATTTAATTATTAAAACAGTGCAGGCCACATTGCTTTGCATTTATAACTTGAAAGGGAATGTTTCTCCTTTGTTCATAAAAGTTCAATTTTTTGCACAAGATTAGTGGTCACATAGAATTAAAATTACTTCCTGTTGCAAATCTTCCAAAGCTCTCTGTGTATTTGATTTGGAATCACAAATGAGCAAAACAATTCCCTCTTGAAAGTGCTTTTGAAGTAGTAAACAACTCAGAATAATGTCCAGGTCCATACATGGATGTTAAAATCATGTCATGTTCAAGTCACATGAGAGAAATGCATTGAGGAGATTTCTATCCACAGTGGAACTGCAATGAAATTTAGGCTTGCCAAGCGCAGCTCTTTTTAAATTGTTAGGAGGTCCCCAGTTTCCCATAGGAAAGCCTGAGTCTAGTTAAATTAAGACGAGTGAGTGAGAGCGTTGACCAGGGCTAGACACCGAGATAGCTTCAAAATGAAAGTCTTAAGCTACCACTAATTCCTGACAAGCTTGAAAAGGGAAACTATCTTCAAAATACCTGTTAACTATGTATCTAAAGAAAACTATTCCAAGTGTATCTTTTTATTCCCACATTAACCACATTCTCAAAAGAAGAGAGATTTAATTTCCTTTTATTTGATACTGAAGAATTCGTACATGTATAAAGTACTTTTTAACCTGAGCAAATTCAATTATATAGCTAAATAGAAAAACTCACCAAAGCAATCACATTATAATTTTAAATATTTTTATAGGCCTTTTATTCATGTTTTGGTGAATTCTAGAACCTAAAATATAAAACCTTGCTCTGCTACTTGTGAGCTGTGTGATCTGTAAAATAGCTTTTAGAGGTAACAAGGATTAATTATGACAAAATTCTTAAGTGTCCTTGGTAGGAAAAAAAAAATACTGCTGTGTATTTAGGTGGTCTTGAGTTTTCAAATGGTGATCAGCCTCTCAAAACACCAACACTCCGCTGACTGTCTCTTCCCTTCCATGGGGCCTTTCCGTGATCAACAGCAATCCTGGGCATGAATTCCCCACCTGGCCAGTAATGCCAGAAGGAAAACAACAGGCTGTTTATCTGAGAAGCATTTCATTGTCTCTGGTCTTACTTTACTTTAACACTTCTGCTCCAGAGTGCTACCATGTCTTTAAAACGTGTTTTCCAAAGGTTATCAGTCTTTTATAATAACGTTACTGATAGAAGTGCTATTCAGCCACAACCTACTACACCCTAGCTAGGAACAGAAGTCACAGTCTGTGGCTGATTACTTGATTCTATTCCTTGATTCTTATCTGAAAGCATCATATTTCTCCCTATAGCCATATGTTTTCCTGGCTCTCATTTTTCTGTCACCCAAGGAATGGTTAGGATAGATGTTGAGGTCACGTGGGGCCAAAGTCTAAAGAGGTTTCTGGGTCCCCATTTTGAGTTTATTACTATGTATGTATGTATGTATGTATGTTATCAGAAGGTCTCCTTTATCTAGTCAGGGACAGCTTCATTTCATTCTGATTAGAGGACTGTTTGGATAAGATCTAGTACAGCACCTAAGAGGCTCCACACATACATCTCAATACACACATCTCAGAGTTCATTCTCACACACTACTATCCAGTTGCTGTGCCTACCATTTCTCTGAAACAAGAGGAAAGAGAAATGCACATGTATTTGGCTTCTCAATCTTGGAAATCCTAAAGACAATTCTCATAATGCCATATACTCAATACTGCATCTCTGATTCCAGTAACTAGGCACCTTTTAATTTGGATATGCTTTTGAGTTTTCAAATTCCCAGGCTAAACTTGGTTATCTAAGAAAGAATTTCCCAAACCACAAGGAAAGAAAGGGCTGTTCAGGGAGGCAACAGAGTTAGAGAGGATAACCTTCTTACACCACTGACATCCAAACTCCACTCTACCTCCTGCTCCTTGTTTGAAGGATCCCACTCTTGCTGGATGGAGTAGTTTACATTACCAAGGAGAAAGGTACATACACAACACAGATCCACTGCGATGGTAAGAAGCATTAAAGTCATAGTAAGAGAAAAGACACATTTTACAGTAATTAGCTGATCCTTGTCAATTTCTAAAAACGCACATTCCCGTACTATATTCTAAATATCTGTCCTTACACCTACATGAATGTGTAGTCCTTACCACTTACCAAGCAAAATTCTCTTTGCAACAGATGGAGAACACTACAGAAAACCATAGCCAATCAAAACGCAGACTTGTGGAGCTCAATTCAAGGGTTACATCTACAACACAACTCCAAGATTTCTAAGAGCCAAAGGATCAGGAAATTTGTTGTGAGAGTCTCTCTCTCTCTCTCTCTCTCTCTCTCTCTCTCTCTCTCTCTCTCTGCTTGAATTAAAGATGTGCACCACCAATGCTCAGTGAGATTCTTAACAATAGGAGAAGCTACATTCATGAAGTCTCACCAACATGACTGTCTAAACGTGGCCAGCACGAGGATGGCATTAATAGACATGTTAACACATAGATAAGGGCACTGAGGGAGGGAGGGACCGACAGGCTCTCAAGAGGCCTCAATTCTACACAAGCAACTACAGGCAACTTCAGAATGCTGGCAGTGGGAAAAATTGTCTTCCCCAGGGAAAAACCACACCAATCAGTTATTCAATACCAAACAGGAAGACAAGAAGCCATGAAAGTCAATACATACAAATAACATTATACAGACTGTATAATAACATTATACAGAACAGGTTATATGTATGTGTGTACATATATATGTATGTATGTATATATATATGTGTGTACATATATACATACACATATAACCTGCTCAGTGTGTGTATACATATATATGTAGATAAACATAGATGTATGTACACGCATACACACACACATATATAGTGTACACACACACACACACACACACACACACAGTCTACTGGAAGATCAGAAAACCTACTTCAAGTTAAATGAAAATATAAACAACCACTAAGGAACAATGTAAAGACTCTCTCATCGGAATCTATAACTAAAGATCGCCTATCATTATGTCTTCAGAATTTATAATTTGGATTGTATCTAATGCACACACACATAAATATATTACATAGTTTAGAATGTTATGCAAAGGTCTTACCCCTTATATTGATTATCTCGGCACTTGTTACAGTGATGACAACACACTGAGTCTTCATTCCATTGGAGATACTATAGTACACACAAGGCCACAACTTCTTTATTTTTCCTTTCACTCTTTCAATAGACACTGACATAACATATACCACAGCAACTGCCTATTTATTTCTTTCATTTAGCTCCAGTAAATTTAAAAGCCACAGATAGGTCAAGATTATACAGAAGCAATGTTTTTCTATAGCAACTGTATTGTCATTGCTTATTTTTTATTTCCTTCTTATTGTGTTATGTGAACTGCATACTTACAATATCCAGCCAAGTTTTATATATTCATTTCTTCCAAAATAAAACAAGGTTTGTCATTTTATGATTAAACTTTCTTTTACCTTAATTTTTTCTGCTTGCACTGACTTATGGATTCGCTCTCTGAGGGGTTTAATTGATGTATTATTCACTTGTGTGGGAGACCTATGTTTAAAAAAAAAAAAAAAAGACAAAGACACAGATACACATTAATAGAATTGAAGTGTTTCTGCAATTTCAAGATTAAATTGACATTTAATTGCCAACAAAACAATAGTAAGAAGGAAGTCTTCATAAGGTGTTCAGGTTAGTGATGTGGATTAGTGTCATTATAAAAGAGCTTGAGACCCTGTTTGGCAACTGCTGTCCTTTCAAATTTCCTACCACATGAAGACACACAGGCAGGTGCAATTCATGAGGAATAGTGGTAACCAATCTACTGACACCAGGGTGTTGGGGGTTTTAGCCTCCAGAACACTAAGAAGCAAATCTATTTATAAATTACCCAGTCTAAGATACCTTTTGGAAGCAACTAAAATAAACTATGACACTCATAAGCCAGAGTAGCATTTAAACTCGTTTTCTCCCTACTCCCATGAGCAGCATATTTACAAGAAGAAAAGGAACCTGCAATCATGTGACAAGAATTCGAAGAGACAATTACAGTTAAAAGAACTGATAAGGGTAAACTCTTAACTACATAGGACGGATGCCTGGTAAATAAGGGACAAGAGAGAAAACATTGTGTGCACACTCTAAAAAGTGTCATGTAAGGAAAACAAAAACAAAATTGCCATCCTCCAATGAGGCAAAGTTCTTAACATCCACCTATGGCACCTAGGCTGTTTCTCACCTCATGCTACATTTCGGTCCATATCTGAAATGGCTATTATTATGGCTGCCAGAGCAGTACTAAGGCAGTATTCAAGGTCTTTATAGAACACCAACATTCACTTAGCAAATCTATTTCTTCATAATGTACAAGGAAGCCAACAAATGCTGATTCTACTTTTAAAATGCCCATTCTATCCTTATGAAGAATGGTGGTCCACAAAGAACAACTTCAAGTTTGGGAGAAGAAACCGTTGCTACTTGTTAACTAAGCTCTGCTGGGAATGTTATGCAATCACTCCCAAGTCTTGATTCTTCACTTAGACTGTGCAGACACTACTAAAAGAAATTGTGATTTAACAAAGTTCTTCACACATATGAAAACGAAGAAATATTTTTTTTTACAGCAAAACACTTAAATGAAAACGTTAAAATCCAAACCCAATCTTAAATGGTACATTATAAATATAGCTGATGCAATAAAATGGCAAATCTTCTTTTAGCTTTTGCTTGCTTTTTCCATATTATCCAGCTGCTTCAAAGTTTCCTATCATAAGTATAAATTCCTCTGATGATCACAAGGTAATATATATATATATATATATATATATATATATACAAAACATATAATGTATATTACACACACACACACACACACACACACACACACACACACACATATATATATATATATATATATATATATATATATATATATACACACACTCACACCTCAGGTTAGAATTTATACCATATAGCTTCCACATTACATACCTAAAGAGAGTAAGAATAGAAGTTCCATTGTGTGGAACTGTACTCTCATCATTATATAAAAGCTCTGCTCTGTTTCTGGTGGGAGCACTGGCTGCGTCTTCATCCAAAAGAACCAGTAAAATTTTCACAGCATCTCTGCCACAGTAAGCGGTATCATGGTTTACGGCAAACGATTTCGGCTAAAACAGAAATTAATTTTAAATTATTCATAGTGATTACCCTTCTAGGTGAGTCAGACAGAAATTTCACTTTCGAACATCACTTTCTTTATTGCTGAAACCACAGGATATCAGCCATAAAAGTGGATGAAGGGTATGTAGACAATTCTCCTGTAAGCCACACTCTGATCAGACTTACCAACTTTCAGACATATAAGAATATCATCAAAGAAGACATTTGTTTCTGATGTGAATCACATTAGGCTTGTAAGATGGAAAAATCTCACCACTATGTAGTTTGGCTACACCTTGACTGTATTCTTAACCTCTGAGTATCTTTTCTCTTACACAAAGAGGGGGGGGGGGGTCAGGCACCAAAACAAACCCATGTGCTTACGATCAAATCGAGAGCCAGATGGGGTAGTACACACCTATAACCCAGCACTGTGGAGGTGGAGGCAGGCGAACACGTTCAAGACGACTTTGAGTTTCGTAAGTTAAAGATCAGCCTGGGTTATACTGAGACCATGTCTCAGAAAAGCAAAAGCAAAAGACCTAGTCAAGTGAAAATTCATGGTTACTCTATGTTCTAAGCATTATTTTAAGAAACTAAAGCTTCAAAGGTGAAGAACGTTACCTCCAAATAAATCACAGGCCTCTTGATAGACAAATAAGTCAGCAAAACGATACATTTCAGAGTGCAGTGACACTGCAAATACACACACACACATACACACACACACACTCACACACACGTGTAAGCACCCAAAAGATACTGGTGAGAATACAATGGAGAGAAGGACAGCTTCACAGAGGAGGCCAGAGAGAGAGGACAGAGAGAGAGGCCAGAGAGAGAGGACAGAGAGAGAGGACAGAGAGGGAGGACAGAGAGGGAGGACAGAGAGGGAGGACAGAGAGGACAGAGAGAGAGGACAGAGAGAGAGGACAGAGAGGGAGGACAGAGAGAGAGGACAGAGAGAGAGGACAGAGAGAGAGGACAGAGAGGGAGGACAGAGAGGGAGAGAGGCCAGAGAGGGAGGACAGAGAGAGAGGACAGAGAGGGAGGACAGAGAGAGAGGACAGAGCTGAAGAGATGAGGTAGCACAGAACCAGGCACCTAGGTAGGAAGGAAGAGTCCACTAGAGGAGCCCTAAGAAACTATGCATCCACGCACGGGAGTCACGGTCAATCTGCGACACAGCTAATAATCTCTTGCTTTATTAGGCAAGTGATTACAATGATCTTATTTAGACTTTAGAAAAATCAACAATAGCAATGTGGAAAATATATTTGAGGGTAAAAACTGCCAAATATGCACATGGGTACTGCAAACTAAAAGATTACAATAAGTTAGTTTGGAAATGAAATAGTCTGAACTAAATAGTGCCAGAGATAAGGAAAACAGATTAAGAATGGAGAGCTGGGAGAATGCAGTGATTGAGTGAAAGAACGTGGCAGGTCTTACATGACAATGCAGTACACATACAGGTACACATGGACATTCACTCGGGAGTTTCTGTTAGGTTTGAAATACCCATGTACCACAGGGCTCTGAGAAATACTTAACTTCCCTGTGTCTACGATGCAATCACTTGCAAAAGAGCAATAACACTGGGGTGAGGGACACTGTACCTAACATCAGAGCTACTGTTGCAGGGCCCGCTGCGTAACTAGTAACAGCCCCCACAGCATTCATCAGCACGGTCCCCCCCCCCCATCACACACACACACACACAGAGCTACCAAATGAACTGTAAAATGCAGCTGTACTCAAAGCGAAGACAAGAGCCTACAGTGATCTGGTACTTCCCACATGGTTTATGTCGCTCCCAGAGAGCGCCACATTGCTAAGAGTACCTCCATTGAGTGTTATTTGATGATGTTTTCAAGATTCGTGACTTAGTGGAAAACATAAGACTGAGAACAGGTGGTTCGTGTCAGGGTTCCGTCTGCCTACAAATGGGAAGCTGGCACTCAGGGCTCTGAGATGACACTGGTCCCTGGCTCACACTTGCAGCGATAGCTCCCTTATGTTTTGCACCAAGCTAATCACTCAGAATGTTGGCACGCACATGACATAAATGGGGTCGCATCCCAGAATCTTCCCCGTGATGCCTTTGAAGTAAATCTAAGGACATGCATTTCTGTAGGAAAATAGATAAAGATGATCAAGGCCTGTGGACGAAAGAATAAATAAATAGCAAAAGCAAAAGAATTTCTTCATGCACTGCCTGCCATGGCGACACCTAACAAAAAAGGCCTTTGTTAACCAAATAAACTCCACAATGTAGATGGGCACAATGGGTTACAAATGTAATTCCAGCATCCAGAAGGCTATGGATAGGAGTTCGAGGCCAGTCTGGGCTGCACAGTGAGTTCCAAATCAACCAGGACTACACAGAAAGACTCTGTCTCAAATAAAAACAAAGAAAGAAAGAAAAAAGAAAAAGACTATACTACATAGTCTAAAATTCTGTTCTGTATTTAAAATCATGCTAGTTCACTTCTGTAGCAATGATCTATTAAAGTTGACTATTTATGCAAGAAAGCCATGGAAGAAGTATATGTTGTATAACTAAAAGATTCCCAAGTATAAGGAAGATTGAATTGTAATCAACTGGAAATGTAGTTAGTAACAAAAATTATTTAGCTCTATAAATGAAAACTACACTTCTGGTGACAAAACCTGTTCTAATAGGACTGTTGCTGTCCTGCAGAGAGATGAGTATGGAGTAAAATAACCAGACTATTGCTTTACATCTAAGTAAATAGAAAACTAATGGTATCATAAGGATAATTATTGAAAAATAGCCCTAAGCACCTCAAGTATTCAGTGCTGAAAGATATACTAGAAATTATCCACTGCCTTATTTTAACAAATACATTTCCCCCAAAGATGTTATGATTTACCTAAGTTGAACATAACCCTATTGAGAAAATTAAATTTGATAGCATCATCTTAAAACAAAAAACACATTCTTCTGACTTAAGTAGCAACAACAAACATTTCTGCAATGAATAGAAGAGATTATGTTTTATATAGAAGGACAATGAAGAATAAATCCATTACCGGCACAGGACTGATGTTGGTGGTGCTGACAGCTACACCTTCTTGAGAACTGATAATATTTTTAATCCTCAAATCCAAATCCTTAACAACTTCCTCTACTGCTTTATAAAAAGGATCTGCACTGCTGTGGCCTTTGATCAGCCGCGTCTTTATCACCGACAATATCCGGCCCCCTGCCAGGCTGAAAATAGAAGTAAAAGTGTGTTTGTGATAGTTTTGTAAATGACAGACAGCAAGCTTACAAGCTTGAAAAATTATTTCTCATGTTAATACCTCTCAAAGAACATAACTTTGACCTTATAGATCAAATAGCGAAGCATTTAAGGAAAATATAAAAACCATGAGAAAAGTTTTTCTAAAACCCAGTAGGTCATAAGTTACATCTTCCTTGATTTGAAAGCTGTGAAAAACATTTTAATTATGTATGAAATATAATGACATATCAGATAAATTTCTATATATCTGATATATGTAAAGTATATACCTTTACATACTACACAGACAACATTAAATGCCTAGAATGTTACCTTAATCTTAAAATCGACTCAGTAAGTTGCTATTGGGTCTCATAAAGATGAAATGAAATACCTTACCCTAGATCACATGGTGTTCCAGAAAAGGAAGAGGAAAGAAGTCTGACCTGAAGTAAATACTACACTCCCATGCATGAAGCATTATTATGTACAGAAGAGAAAATTACGGCAGTAGGTAATGATCCAGGCCAACCAAAAACTAAACCTATGGCCAGTAGACAAATGTTTTTCAAAGCCTGAAGCCAATGTTTCCTTAAAAGCCTGAATCTGGGTTCAGCTCCTGCTCTACAGTTCTGGCATGGGTCCGGTGTGAGAAACAAACACACTGGGGGTGGTCTGTCCTAAAGCAGAAATTAGAGGTGTCCAGCAATACAAGAGGGCTATCTGTTGAAGTCATGGGGTATCCCTGGAAAGGCTGTGCCCAGGATGATGACTGCTTTGACGTGGAGTCATGGCAACCCTGCCTTTCTCTACCCTGGGAACACTACTCTTCTCTTTTGTAGAAACATAAAGGACAAATTATGACCTGACGTTTTCCCCTCAATACCTATCACCAGGTTATACATCTCAGTCAGGTTTCCAACAGGTATGTGAAAATATGGTTGAGCAGGTAAATATTTGGTTCAAATGGGTAAGAAAACTCATGAGGCAGCCAGAGAGAACTGAAAGTCCAGTGGTGACTCTAATAGCTCAGTCCCTCCCACATTTTCTATTGTAAGAATCATACTCAGGCCGGGCATGGTGGCTCATGCCTTTAGTTCCAGCACTAGGGAGGAAGACGCAGGGGGATCTCAGTGAGCTCAAGGCCAGCCTGGTCTACAGAGCAAGTTCCAGGACAGCCTCCAAAGCATTACAGAGAAACCCTGTCTGGGTGGGGAGGGGGGAATCCTGTTCAGTTCTGTGCCTAGCTCCTAATCCCAGCTACCTGAATTCCTTTCTCAGACTTTTGCATTAAATGCTTCCCACCTTGCTTTAGCATAAAAGAAACCTGAGCTACAAATACAGGAAGAACTCTCATCTGAACCTTAAATTGAATGCTAAAACACTTTATAGTTAACTATGTTGGGGGGGGGTGTTTGTTTTTTTAGTTTTCGAGACAGGGTTTCTCTATGTGAGAGCCCTAACTGTACTTGAACTTTGTAGAGCAGCTAGCCTTGAACTCACAGAGATCTGCCTGCCTCTGCCCCACGAGCTGGCTAGGTTTTCATGGGAACCCTTTTCTGAGCTTACACAGTCCTTGCACTTAGTTCACCTTCGTGCTGAGGGATCATTCCTGCACGGTGATTACGTCTTCGAATTAGGTCTACGGTTTGAGCTGTCCCATAGACACTAGTGTCTATACAAAGAGGATTTCTGGGCTGAAGAGATTGTTCGTGGGTAAAATGCTCGCTACACAAGCATGAGCAGCTGAATTTGATCCCCAGCATACACAGAGAAAGCTGGATGTGGGGTCATGAGCCCATAATCACAGGCCTGGGAAGATGGAGACTGGCAGAACCCTGGGGCACACAGGCCACAGACAGATGCCAGCAGACCTGGTCTCAAAAATACAATGTGGACAGTGTCTAAGGGGTGTTGATCTCTGGCTTCCACACACATGTCCACACCCCAATCACATATATACTCACCCTTCCCCCCCCCACACAGACTAGAATCTACCCACAGAGAACAGAATCCAGCTCCCCGAGACCTCTACTGGGCTTGCCCATTTGGACTTGGCTCTCTGGCTTTCTTCTTCCCCTGACCTTTGGCCTGCATTTTCATTACATTTGCCCAGTCATTCAAAGCATTAAGAAGCACTTAAAACCTTATCGAGCTTTATTAATTGTTGTCAATGAAAGGGTCATTCCAAGAAATTTGTCCACCTAACTTCTATAACCAGAATCTAGGCAGACTCTAGGAATACCTTTTATATAAGAAGCTTCTTTTCAGCTGTTACTTTAAACGTACAGTTATACTAAAAGAACAGACAAATTAGAGGAAATTTAGCATAAACTAATCCATAGTCAGCACGATGGCACTTCCTCTGGTAAAAATTCTGTAAGGTACTTTAGTTAAAAAAAAAATTATAATACATTAATCTATGTTCTTAAGAAATTGCATCTTTTACTCAGGGTGAATATGAAAGTCATGGTGGACAGACTTCAGTGATGTAAGTGACGCAGCTGGTAGTGACAATCTGCTAATAAGTACTATGCATAAGGGACAGTGATTTATTTGTCTTTTGATAATGCATGCTTATGTATGTTAATGACTTGGTGTTTAGCGATTAAAGTACTAGAACTGACCAATGTATACTGATCTTTTTGGAATGAAACTAGTATTAGTTGGTCATAGTGTTTGATTAAGGGCTATTAAGAGTGAATATCAAAAACACTGACAGCTATAGAATACGATATATACAGGTATAGCTATTTTATGCATTGTACCAACATTTTAAACTGAATGTTTTATAGTGCTACAGTCCTGTCAATAATGCTCATATAATACCAGTTATGGCGGGCTTTCTCCCAACTAGACCACAGTTGTTCTCATACTTGTAAAATGCTATGCATACTATACCTACATGAGCCCGCATTCTACCCCATGTTAAGTGGCCCTCTAACTGATAATGTAAACACTAATAGGGGAATTTTAGCACAGTAGCTACAGTTTACCAGGACCTCTGCCAATGAAGATAATATTGAGTCAGGTTACCAGACTTATAAAAATCCTTTTTACTAAAAATGATCTTTCAAGTGGATTGTAAATGTACCCTTTTACTGAAGTAGCTAGGTCAGTTACATGTTTACTAAAGCTACAAATAAACTATCAAAAACATTTTTGGTAGAGATTCAAAGGATAATAAAATATGAAAGAATTTTTTAATTGCAAATTATAAAAATAAAAATTTCAAATAATATTAGGAAAAGGTTATCACTTGCTGAGTTCTCAAGATGGTATAATTCATTGCTAGAATTGTACTAGGAAAAGATTTATAAGATTTAAGCTTCAACTACTTGCCAAGATTAATACTGGCCACCAGTAAACATTCTAAACACTGCTACTCTGATTAATTTATATATTTCCTACTAAAGCCAACCATTAGACTTGCTAATGTCCAGTGGGCAATACAGTAGCTTAATTCAAGCTGTTACTTTTAGAAACTAAAAGGTCCAGGCCACCCATGCTATGTTCTGGTTTCTTTTAAGATGAATAAAAGCTTTGGGCAAAGTAGAAAGATACTAAAAGTACAGAGACAGCTTGAATAGAAAAGTGGAAGAGTCATTCCCAAAAGATGCCTCTTTTGCTAATTTAGATAAACATTAAAAGAAGAATTTAGATAAGAGAATTAAACTTTAGCTCTCAACAATGAGGCTGGTAATGAAAAGCACAATAAAAACTTAAATAGCTGGAAGAGAATACTAGGCAATAATATGCACAAATACTTTCAAGTAATTGGTTACTTTTCATTTTACTAAATAAAGTCTACAGGTTTTCCATTATATATTCAAGTATTTGATAATCATTTGCTTTAATATGTATAAAAATTAAATATGAGTAAAGATACATAAGTAATATTATCAAAACACTTCTGAGGTATTTTCAAACAAACAAAAAAATTAACAATACACAAGGCAAGTAATATCCAGTCATATAACACAGGTATGCATTAAAAAGCTGTGTACTATGCTTAAAGTACATCACTTTGAAATTCTCAACAACAGAACCTAACTAATTTGTATGAGGTGAAGCTTCCAAGACATTTTTCAGGTGAAGTGTAGCATGCATTTTATGGTGGCACCTACTGGCAAAGTGCAGAAATGCAGCCCGCTTCACCAAGATGGCCTTATGAAAAGCAGGCAGAGCGCACTGGGTGTCAATGTGCATGCTTTCAGCTTCCCCCTTTTTTCTATCTACCTATTTTCATTATCCCTTAGACCCAAAGGTTATTATAATGCCCCTTTATAGGATAAGCACAAACCTACCCTAAGACGCAAGAAGATTTATGTCATTAGCTCTTAAGTTAGAGTATACACGATTGTGCACATCAGCCAAGACTCCTGTGCCCAGTATGGAGTCATTGAATGTTTTTAGTCATGGTACTATCAAAAGCCCTTCAGGAAGATCAACTGGCATCAGTGAGCTAACAGGACAGAGCAATTCAGGAGCAGAAGCAGAACGAACAACTCAGGAGAAAAAGTCCAGATAAGAAAAGATGAGAACTGATAGGGACAGCAAGAACTAGAAATAAGGCCATAGTTACCAAAATAGAGACAAGAAAAAATATGAACAAACATGTTTAGAGTAAGCTAAGGCAGCAACAGCAGGAAGAGGACTTACAGGTAGATACTTAAGACTGTGCTGGCTCCAGGGGGAAGGGTGAAGCCAGTCAAGTGGCATGCAGGTGGCAGGCTCTTCACAGGAAGATGAAGTTAATTTTTGGTGTATATTGAATTCGAGCTACTCTGAGGCACCATCTCGGCGATGCCTGAAGACATGTCTTTGGAACTCATTTGGACTGCAGTTGAGTTTCACCAAGTAACAGATTTGTAAGAATTTACACAGATGAAATTAGGTAGAAAAATGAGAGAACGACGTCACAGACGTTACAAGAAGTTCTAAGAAGTGATCACATATGAGGAGTCAAAACATTCCAGATGGTAATAAACGCAAGATCACAGCGGACCGTTGACAGAAGGGTAGGGAATGAGAATAGTGTGAACTGCTCACAAGAAAACAAGCAAATTATACTCGACTCTGTGCCAGAGACTGCTCTGCCTAGCACATCGGTGAAGAAAATCAGTAATATTTACTGCCTATGAAGAAATAAACATCAAGACTGCAAAGACAGAAGGGAAAAAAAAGAATATTAATTTCTCATGAAACAGCAAAGGGATGCAGAACACAGTTTTCTGGGGTTTTTTCTCACTGTCTTCATAGACCACGGCTAAAGTTCAAGTTAAGAAAAAGTATAAAATGAAAGACGAGAGGCGCAGCCAATGGGGTAAAGGTCCAGTAGTTGTCCACACTCCACACCCAGATCACTGCACATGAGCCCTTTAGAGTAAACTCAACTGCAGCATCTTTCCAGGCATGCTTTCCTGATGCAGGCTCCCACAAACCAGGCCAGTCTAGGCCCTCCCAGTGGATCTCTTCATTTTTAATAGTTTTACTATTTTGAATTACAAAATTAAAATATACTTACTGTTTAAAAACAAGAAGAAAAAAATTGTTTAAGTGAACTATTTAGATCCCCACTTGGAGATAGTAGTTAGATATTGCCTTCCTTAGTGTCTACCCCAGAAGATAGGTAAGTATTCATCATGACCAAACTCAATATTTCAAATAAATGCTAAGTTGAAAAAAAATATATTCACTAAGAAATATATTCTCTCATCCTGGGTAGCTATAAAATAATGCAATTCCTAACCATTTAGTCAGTTTTCCCAACCATATAGCTCACCAAAATTTTAAGATTCATTGGACTGGATGTATACATTTATCTTAGCTTTCTCCCCAAACCTTACTGAAGTCAAAAAAGAGAAAACCAAATTTTTTAATCCACACAGGAAAAGAAAATAAAAGACAATACAGGTAATAGCAGAGACATTCCAACAAGGTATGGGAAGACAGAGCAGATAGAGGGAGGCACTTACTACCCAGAGCACAAGAAAGGTAAATGTGCGTCACTGTTAGGAGAGAATGAAGGAGCGCTGGTTAGGCCCCTCAGAAACGGAAGACCCTGTAGTGGTGGCTGTTTTCAACCAAGGATGCTGGGTACTTGACATGTGTACATGGGAGACTCAAAGCCCAGCCCTCCTCTTCCATCCCCAGGGTTAAACTAGTGTGCCTCTTCCACTGTGGTCTGGAAGGCAGGGTCTCTCAGAAGAGGGAGCCAGGGGAGACCCAGTCCCAGGGGCAACACGGACTCAAAGGAAAGGGAGTAAAACTGTACACAATCAAGTGTGAGCTCAGTGTCAACAAGCCCACCACAGACCAGAGCTTTGGCTTTCAGAGACTGAAGCAAGGGTCTGTGGGTAATTCTAGAAAGTCACAAAGAAACGGACAGTCACCGGACATCTGCAGGGTTAAGTCCCTAACAAAAGGGCCAACTGACCGCCATGCCATAATTAAGCCCACTACACAAAGCTGCTCCTCAGCTTTACCGGTCCTCACTCTTAAACAAGAAAAGACGGGTTGAATCACCGTACCTTCTAAGAACACAGGCCAAAACACAACTCTAACCAAAACCTCCTAAAACGCAAATAAAAATGCTGAATTATTTTTTTCTTGCACTTTTTTCTTCCTACCTCGAGGGAAGGCCTCACACTGGAGTCCTGGTTCTTTGAACTCAAGGCAATAAGGCAATTTTCTTGTCTCAACCTCCCAAGTGCTTGAAACAGGTGTGAGTCATTACACCTAATGGAAGTTAACGATGACTAATCATCTTAGCAAGAAAAACTATGATGGACCACATAAAGTCAGATGTGAGAATACAGCATTTGTTACCCGTTTGCCTTTACTTGTTCTTTTATTGTTATTATGGGGGATGGGGCAGTAACATGCATGGCACATAGGTGGCAGACAGAGGACAGCTTTCAGGGGTCGATTCTCCCCTTCTGCTCTAAGTTACAGGAATTGAACTGCACCATCAGGTTTTCACAAGTGCCCTTATCGGATGAGCCACCTGACTGGTCCATGTGCTTGCTTTCAAGAAGAAAGCTCCCTGAGTGTAAACTAAAGCCACGAGGTCCGGGGAACAAGGGGAAGGCAAGAAACTTCACCAGGGGCTGATGAGAATGCTAGGCACCACTCAGAGGCAGGCTAGCAAGCAACGTATGGGCTGAATGATGACAGAGACTCTGCAGAAGGAACATCTTCATGGGCAAAGGGTGACTTGGTAGGTGGACCGATATTAAGACAAAATTTGTCAGGCTTGATAATTAATTGATGAATAATACATAGGAAACAAATCAAAAGAAAAGAATAGAGATTTTGGATGTGAAAGTATCTCTCTTAGGCTCACATTCAAACACTTGATTCCCACCTGGTAAAGCTACTTGGGAAGGTTTTGAAACCTTTCTGAGGTCATGGTTCACTAGGGGTGGGTCTTGAGGCTTTATACCATGGCCTCACTTCCACTTTACTCTCTGATTCCCTAGTACAGATGCAACCATCCACCTTCTGGCTCTTATGTAATAGATGTCCATATAAGATACAATGCAATTCAGAACAAAATCCTTAAAATATATATATATATATGGAATTTGGGGCTCCCAAGATGGCTCAGTGGATAAAGGTGCTTGCTCTCAAACCTGGCAACCTGAATTCAATCTCTGGGATCCACAAAGTATAGAACCACCTCTTGTAGGTTACCATCTGACCTCTACTTCCAAGTCATGGCACACATATGCACCACCCCATCCACATTCATTAAATAAAAAATGAAAATAAATATGGAATTTGAATCTTGGAAAGAAGTTCCTCAGAACGAGATAAAAGAATGTCTGCTGTGTGCATATTGCTTCAACTATGTAAAGATGTGTTCATTTGTTTTTGCTGCATTTGTTTAACTATATAAAGATGTGTGGCTGTTTCACCTTGCCTGCTTAAGGCGCCTGATTGGTCTAAGAAAGGCTGAATGGCCAATGGCAGTGGAGGGACAGGCAGGGCTGGCAGGCAGAGAGAGTAAGTAGGAGAAGGAATCTAGGCTTATGAACGAAGAGGAAGAGAAGAGAGAATGACAGAAAGAAAGGGCGATGCCCGGGGGTAGAAAGTCAAGCAGCTGCCAGACAGATAGACAAGGAGTAGGTCATACAGACGAAAGGTAAAACTTGCTGAGGCAAAATGTAGATCAAGAGAAACAGGTTAATTTAAGTTGTGAGAACTTGTGCAACAAGCATATCATAAGGCCTAGCACTCAAAACTGACAATTAAGTCTTCATGTCTTGATTTGGGAGTTGCCTGCCGGTTCAAGAAAGCCTGCCACAAATGTCTGCCGGGGACTGAACTAATTCAAGTACAAGCTCTGATGCTCAATAACAACGTAATCCAGGGTAAATCACTTGATCCCCAAACTTCAATCTCTTCATCTCTTACTAAGGGTAGTAACAGTATCTACCATATGAGGCTTTAGACTGATCAAGTGATTATCTACACAAAAGAGTTTATACAATGTTCAATGCAAGAAATGTCCAGTATCAGCTACTTTATTTGAACAATGTTATGACTCACCAATCAAAATGATAGCGATCCACAATTGCTAATAGATATAGTCTAGCCCAGTCCCCTAAAATTACTGTAAGCCAACATCTAATATAGCTGTAATGTTAATGGATGTCTGTCAGATTTAAAAAGGTTGTCTCTAATAGCACATAAAACAAATCCTAGATAAATCAAAGATTTGCAGCTGTAAGAAAATGAAAAATAGCAAAACCAAAATATGAAATTCATTCTTTTCAATTTTCCTTCTCATTCTTTGTATTGGTTTCTTTTATTGCTAAGTAAAATACTTCTAAAAATTACTTGGTAAATTCCAGTTCTGAAAAATCTGTCTCTTTCATATAGACAAATAATAATCATCTTTACTAAACAAATTTAGTTTGAATACAACTTTTGGTTTACACACACACACACACACACACACACACACACACACACACACACAAAAGCAGTAACATAGAAAGGCAGAAATTTATTTCTTTACCTATGCTTTGTTTGGTTGCTTGGTGATTTCAATATTACCTTCATTCCTACTTCTAATTTTATAAACTTTTAAAGACAGAATTAACATTAAATATTTATAATTTACAAATCATTACCTTGGATTTGGTATCTCTCCAAGAATTTCATCTAACTTGTCAATGAAACTGATAAGATCAGACAGCCCTTTTGCATGTGTCCTTAAGGGATCTGATGGCGATGGTGCATATCCTTTCCCTCCAAGCTCTAACGTTCTAATAAACGATGTGGCCATCTGTGAGTGAAAATGGATGACTTAGTAACTTTTAATGGTTTTAAAGGTACATTTATATGATCCTAAGTACACAGCCACATTGAAGCATGTTTTGTGGATCATGTCACATTCTGAGGAGCAAATAATCACAGGAGTAAGTGCCATGTGAATGCCATGCCAGACAGACAGGGTGAGACCAACAGCAACTAGCTGCAGGTGAAGACTGAGACTCTAAGTTGGGTGACAGAGAAAGGATGAAAGGCACAGCTGTAGCCTGAAGAGCAGACCACTGACTGTACAGACTCTGTCTATGAAGATAGTTTCATGTGTATGGACAATCGGCTGCTGAAATCACTACACAGAGAAACTCATTGCCAGTATCAACTGCTCTATTTTAAATGGGTCCAAGGCTTTACTTCACTTTTGCTATGAATAAGATTTGTCCTAGATAATCACTACATTCCAAAAAGCTCTCACATTCCAGGATAAGAGGCTGAAAGACTGTCTTTACACCGATAAAGATACATAGACACATGTTTGATAGCTGTAGTCTTCTTTTATTTTTTTTTTTTATTTTTTTTTATTTATTTATTTTTTTTTTTTTTTGAGACAGGGTTTCCCTGTGTAGCTTGGGAGGCTGTCCTAGAACTAGCTCTTGTAGATCAGACTGGTCTCAAACTCACAGAGATCTGCCTGCCTCTGCCTTCTGAGTGACGGGATTTAAAGGCGTGCGCCACCAATGCCCAGCTGTACTCAAGAACATCTCATCAAAAAGATAACAGGTTCTAAAAACAGTATCTCCCAAACTATCCTAAGAAAGGGACATATGGAATATCAATAATTTGTAGGAAAGCTTTAGGAACAACCCATGAAGTGAAATGTTTATAAGACATAAGAAGTTTCTTCATTGAAGGACTCACAGCTCTTGATCCGGATTGAGTAAACAAGCAGCATATATGCCATGTCTGAAGATTTTGCCCTTGGAAAAATTTATTCAAGAAGAGGTACAGAATACATGTTTACAACCCCAGCACTTGTGAATCTGAGGCCAGAGGACTAAGAATCTATGGGCAACTTGGGCCACATAGCAAAGAAAAGAAAGGAAAGAAGGAAGGAGAAAATAAGAGGAAAGAGGAGGTAAACTGTACATTTATTTATTGGGACTAACAGTCTATAGAATATATGTATGTAGGAAATACTGCTTAAGAGAAATTCTCCCTTGCTAAACTTGGAAGACACAGGAAAAAAAAAAAAAAAAAAAGCAATGGATTTTCAAATATAGAGATAAAACATAAATTAACTACTTAAAATTATTATTTCATTATTATAAGAAATCTACACTAAAGTTTACTGCTCAGGGAGTTACAATCAGCCTGAAAATGTAAGCATCCATACCAAAAACATAGACAGTTGCTTTTCTCGAGCAGCATGCTTCAAGTCAGTGAAGGCCTCTCTCCCCAGTCCTCGGTCGGGGATGTTGAGAACATGAGCCAGAGCCAGGTCGTTCCTGGAATTCACTAGCAGGCCCAAATAGGAAAAGAAAATTTTCCTTGCCAATAGCCGTACCTGTACAATAAAATATTCCATTATTTTCTTAATTTCAGCTGTTCTAAACCTCTTTTCTACATGCAGAAAGAACACATAGAATCATGTAATCACAATACGGCAACCCATCCTTTAGGAAAAGCGAACAGTCAATTGGCAGCAGGCTGGATCACCAACATATTCTTTCTTACAGAAACAAACTTAAAAACAATAAAATGCTAAATATGGTGATTGTATAAGACATATAACGTTGGAAGGAAAAGTAGGAATAGGGGATAGAGAAGGAATCTGATGAGAAGGGACAGAAGATAGATTTTATCAAAGCATATTACACACACACACACACACACACACACACACACACACACACACACACACCGGCAATTTAAGCTTCCACACCTACACCTTGCTCTTTGAGGCTTACAGATCCCATTCCTCAGGTCCATGCTGCTGCGCAAACACTGGGGGAAGTATCATGGAGGGCTTCTTTAAGTTCTGGCTGTGCTGGACCTGCGTCCCTCTCTTTATGGTCAGATAACATGGCGGTTAATGGTTTCTGTGTTCTTGTACGTGCCAGTTAGTTTTTAGACGGTTCCTTGGAAAAGCAGTCCATAAATACAGTTGTGACATCCAGAAGCAAAAATGTAAATTGAAAACAATCCTAACACTAAAGCTTTAGCAAGGCATCAAAAATAAGAGTACTAATCGGTCTGCTTAATACACCGATTCTATCCATATCACAAAGTACTGGTAGTTGCTGGGAGCTGGACGATTTTATTTAAGTTCCTGACAGCTTCATGCTAATTTGCTCTCCTTTAATTCTTCCTGAGATGCAAGCATCTAACCTTAATTTTAAGTCAGGTTTTTAAATGGAAAAAAAAATTACTTGATTTCGTTGCTAAAAACTTCCTTTGCTAACCCATAAATGCTTGTGTATAATAACTAATAACTAGACTAGGACTAATATACTGATAGAACTTTTTATTTCCATTTCCATAATGTCCTGACAAGGGAATATCGTATATTCTACTTTGTTACCTCAGAATTCCTAAGGGGGGGGAGGTAAAATAAGAAAATAAAAAGTACTTCTTAAATTCATCTTACAGTTGCGCGAGATTTTGATGTGCCGTTAGTATTTGATAATCAAAACGCGCATCTGCAAGACTGCATCCCCACTTCAGAATTTTACATTTGCTGATTTCTAAAGACACCTGCAGAGTCAGGCACAATCCTAAAAAGGTCCCCAGGAAAGAGGCAAAGAAGGGAGGGAGACGATGCCAACAAGCGTGGGGACAGCTCTGCAGAGCATGGATGGACAGGCCGCAACAGAGAAGGCATGGCCAGCTGAGCCGAGGGCCCTGCAGATGCCAGATGAGGTGGTGCACTGTCCGCAACCCTACTTTTGATGGCTGAACAGTATGAGAAGGCACTTTTTACATCAAGTTGTATAAAAAGCAGCCTGTTCCTCCTCTGTTCTCTGGCATTTCGGTCTATGCTGTGTGCAAGCACACAGAACCCTTCACCGCTGTGGTGGTGGTGGGGGGGGGCGTGTGTGTTCCCGATATTTGCCTGAACTATCATGATTACAGAAAATATATTAAGTGAAATATAGAAATATAGCTCAGCTTGGAACAAAATTGAAAAAAGAAAATATAACTCAAGAAAGAAACTACCATCATTTAAGCACATGTTCTACCACTTAACTACACCTCAAGTTACTCTCAAGTGTTTTTAAATAAAGTAACCATATGGATACAGTGAAATCCCATAACTTTCTGAATATTATGATCCTTTGTTATAGCTATTCTTTTGGGATACTGTTTATATCTTTAAGCCAAAATGATAGGAGCTTACATCTTTATACACACAAGACACCCCTCCTTTTTTAAAGAGCATAAGAATGATTACTGTGTCCTCCTTATGGAGGACTTAGGAGAGAAGAGGGACACTGGGCTGTGAGGTAGGAATACTGCTTATCATCAAGCCTGAATTTGATCGCCAGATCACACAAGCTGGTAGAAGGGAACCAACGCCTCCAAGCTATGCTCTGACATCCACAGGCATGTGTGGCTTATGCATGCCTGGGCAGGCACACACACGTAAGACACACACACACACACACACACACACAGTTTTTAAGAGAAATATCAAAGACAAGACCTGTAAGAGAATAATCTGTTTTCATCTGATATATTGGAATGAATATACTCAGTAAGCAACATACTCATTAAGTGAGAGAATTTTGATTAACATTTTCTAAAAATTTGGGACAAGAACAAAAAAATAAAGAGAGAGCAGTTCTATTTAAACCAACTTTAAAATTTGGAAGAAAGAGAAAAGCAAGACAATAGTAACTCCAATGAACCAACAGACTCATGATCTGATGGGGTCACCTCCTGCTCTCACTGACTGACATCCCAATCAGTACCTGTTCGTCATTCTGGTTGCATTTCACTGGGGATGCTGGTATGTGAGGATTAGTCTCATCGTTTGCTGCACACTGCGTGCCAGACAAAAAATCCCGAAGCTGGCTCTGTAAACAATACGTGGTATAATAAAGGTATGGGAAACAGAGTATTGTATGAAGTTCTGCACTTTAAGTGTCACAGATGCTCCAGTGTAAATTTGTGGACAATTATAAGCATGATAGTTTCTTCTACATGCTTTTGAATATTCTCACAAATCCTTTTAAATTGAATGATGAACAGTTACTATGGTCGGCAAGGGACATTCTATTTAATCTTTTGCTAAATAACAAATATACCTTAACTACAGTTCAATAATCAATTATAGCTAATGGATTTTATAATATTTAAGAGTCCAGGAATTTTAACAACTTATATCTATGTATGTATCTTTTCTCATCAATATAGCCTGGAACTTAAATACTACCAGTACTCTTTGATTTCTCTTTGGCTAATAGTACTATTTCCTATGGCATATACATTATTATTTAGTTGTTTTGCCTTCTGGGACTATTAGTATCTTCATGTCAAGACCTACCTCTAAGTTCTTTAAATTCCCTGTGTGTTAGGATACTATATTTTGTGTCAATATGCCTTCTGTATTGGGAAATCTTTCCTCATATTTTTCTGAGTTGTCATGAAAACAGCTTGTTTTTCATAAAAATTAGAAGGAATCACTTGGAAGCATTTGCCTTTATGTCATTACACACGTTTTTGTGTTTCTTTGTATTTTCACGTCTTATTTGAAAAGTTAACAAACTTCTACCATTTTTATAACTGGTAATTGTGTAACCAGTAAGGAAAAAATGGGGAAGCAGGAAGAAGTTCATAAACGTTACAAATGCTGAAACACTGTACACAGTGAATTCCTACCAAACACGGAACAGGAGTCGACGAAACGCTGGACTACCCCAGTTAACTGCAGTTGTCAGCCTGCTCTGTCCCATTTGTGGTGCTCTTCCTCATTTCTGAAGCTTGGTAACCCTTCAAAAAAAAAAAGCCTCTAATTCTGGCACACACAGGAGGAAACACTTTCCGCCCAACCTGAAGCTGAAAAATAACCCTCACCTGCCCCTTAGGACGCCCTAAGCTCGCCTACCCTTCTGCCAACTCAGCTTTCTCCCAGTTTCTCTCAGGCATGGGGATGCTTTCTGAGATTAGCAGCAAGCTTCTGCTTGCATGTCGGGGAAGAGGAAGAGCCCCACTCCCGCCCCTACACCTGAAGAAGCAGCAGAGAAAGGAGGGGGCTGCAGGAGAGGGTGCTTAACGGTCTTAAAGGAAAAGAACACGCGTTTTTGGATAAATTGAGTGGTATGAGCTTTTATAATGATGCCAGCCTTATATCTAGTGGCCATGTGTCTAGAGCAGCAAATGCCTATGCCCCGTGGGGACGTTGGAGGCGGCCTCTGGCGTGCTAAACTGAAGCTCCTGGCTCTCTGGCTTTGGTCTCAGCTTCAACAGTCAGGCGGTGCTGCGTGGCTTCCTCGAGGTTCTGAAGCTGGCGACTTTCCCACTGCCTCACCCGCTCCATGGCAGCTGCCAGCTTCGAGGGGTCTCGCCTCCCGCTGCGGGTTTTGGGCAATGCTGAGTCTCCAAACAGGGCTGCGAGGAACTGTCGCTTCTGCCGGGGATGCTGGGTCAGAGAGGCTAACACGGAGGGATCATCCGCAGGAAGTGAGAAATCCTGGTAGGGCCCTAACTGCTCCCCGGGCCGCTTGGGAGCCCTGGAGATGGGCTTCCCTTCCCTAGCGGCGGCTGTGGCGCTGACCTCTGTCTTGTGGATGGGGACGTCCTGGGAAAGGTGTGGAGACGTCACGAGTCCGCCTTCCACACTTTTTCCGCAAAGGTTTAGTGCATCTCCTGCAGGTCTCTGGCTGCAGCTAAGCACAGCTTCCTCAGGAACCCTGTGTTGTCTTTTTACGCGTGGCCTCATCAGGAGAAATGGAGCTCTTCCACCCGGAGTTCAGCTTAGGAAGCAGCACCCAGGGGCCCTCCCTCCGTGCAGCCTGGGCGGTTGGAACGCGTGCTTGTGCTGGCACTTGCTGACGCCTACCATCCCACGTCAGTCACCCGGTCGGTGCCCAGCAAGAGCGTTTTCTTTGTTAGGTAAGATCTACCGAGTCTTGCGTTTACATGTTATTCTTTTTTTTTTTTTTTTTTTTTAAGCACTTGATATTTCTGTCTTCAACGTGATGTTATCACCTCCAACAGCTGCCTTTTGTTGTGAATGTGTTGCCAGTAGACTCCTCCTTCTCTGGTAGATGGTAATCCTTGACAATCATTGGTTGGCCTTTAGGACTCTCTGGGACACAGCATTTCTACAAGTAACATAAGGTCTCTGTGCTCCTCTCTGCACCAGTAGGAGAAAGTATCAAAAAGGCTGTCGCCCCCTGTGCTCTCACAAACCTGTGCTACAGAGGGAGAACCCTGCCCACCCACAGATAACGTGTTCATCTTGCCCAGAGTGCTCATACATCTGTGCCTAAGTTCTTCTGAGAGCTATACTTCTGGGAGCCACAGCTCTCTGACTGTGGTCCACATACTTTAAGTTCGTGTGAAAACAAATCTGTCCCAAATCCTGGATATTCCAGTTAGAGCCCAAAGCCTTATATGCTCCCGGGTGGGGAAGGAATATAAACTATAGGAATGAAAGGTTCAAGCTACCACCTTTCCAGAACTATCTCATCTTTGTTTCTTAATTCCCAACAATCTGAATTATTTAAACTACAACAAATAAGAAACAAAGCAACCTTATGGCCATGAAGATTCAAAAGCATGAAAATCAGAACTATTTGGAACATTCTGATATGTAACAGTGAAGACACAGCACAAATTAATTAGGGTTACACTTAACACACTTTTGTAAAAAAAAAAATCAACCCAAGATACATTTCTTTATACAACTTTGTTGTTAGTGAAAATTTCCTTGGAGAAAACTGAGTGTCAGAGACTGGGTTGTTAGAACTCCAGAGTCTTGTCCATGAACTACCATCTTGGCAGCTTTGGTTTAATTTTCAGTGTTCTACAGAGACACAATCAATCGTCCACACAGCTGGCCTGAAAAGTAAAGGTCTCGCTCACTCAATGAGGAAATGTGTCAGAGAACCTAAAGGAGGGAAAGCATGGGATGAAGAACATGTGCCAAGATTTCCTGTCCATTCCTGTAACACAGTGCTTACATATGACATTAACTAACTAGGTGAGGACTAGTCAAAAAACAGCCCTATAACAAGAAAACTTTTTAAAAAATCATTTTCCAAAGTGTTGCACATGGACACAGAAGAACACGTGGACACGTGAACGTGTGCCGATACCCATTCTCCTTGTCCTACTTACTGAGTGTTTGCTGTCATCCCGGCACGCTACTACTCGGGAAAAGACCATACTCTCCACACTCCCTCAACTAAGCTGTAAGCAACTGGACTGAAGCAAAGGAACTGCACCTTCTTAGAAGATTCCCACCCTCCAGCCCTCCCGCCTCCTGCCTCCCACCACGGGCACTGCCGAAGGACGGGACTTCAGCCACCTTTGGCCGTTTCATACCGGAGTGAAGGAATTTCATAATGAACTTAAATACTATTCCCAATTATATGAAAAGAGCTTAGTATCTCATAAAATACAGCAAATAATTCCTCCTAAGTCCAACTATAGTTATTCAGCCATTATCAATATTCACTTACTGCTTTATTGGCACACAGAAAATACTGAAATATTTTCAACGCTCAAAAGTAAAACATGCACATATACAAATAGATTTAAAATAGTTTGTCAATTCTAGTACAAACAAATCTAAGGGGCACTAGCTTTTAAACTTATACCCTATAAAAAATAAATACACTTACACAATGAAGTCTATTATCTCATAGATGTTATATCATTCTATTCTCTGATATTAATATATGGCATGTCTATCTAAGAAGCCATTAAATCACGTAAAAGAACTATATATAATACAAACAGATGTATACTCAACAAAGAAGAAAAAGTTGTAGAAAAGCAATTTTTTATTTAATTCAAAAGAAACCTGGCATTTGGAACTTATTTCTTTGCCAAATCTGTATCTATTAAGGAAAATATGCTTATAGAAACTAACAATACCACAAACCCAACAAAAATTATCAAAAACATTGCTTTCATGTAAAAACTAGCCTTTAGGTAGTTAAACTTTATACTTAAATATGATTTAAAAAGGAAAAAGAATCAACTTATTATATCTTTTGCTTCTACCAAGTACATTATTAATAAAACAAAGACTATAGCCTCTACCCTCCACCATATTTTTAAGACTATTAACTCCAGCTATAGTTTAAAATAAAATTGAGCTGAACTATAATTTGATTAAAGTAAAATTATTTTTAAAATACTTACAGAGGATATCATATTATTCCCACAACTAGAAGTCAAGTTGCTACATTTCTCATAAACATCAATCAGATCTAGCATATTACTTTTCTTCAAGAAATCATTGTATGTTTTCTTAATGTCTTCATAGTGGTCAACCACTTTCACACTTTCAGTGGGTAAGTTCAATTTTTCATGTAAGAAGTATTTCCATGTCAGTAAGACATCACTGAGAGAGACTGTAAACTCTCCACTGTGCTGAAAGAGATGCAAAAAAGAAGACGACGACAAATTTGAGTGCTTAATACTTGGATGACCACTTATCTAGTCACTCATAACTGATATGAGAAATACAAATATCATGTTTTATAATAAACATAAAAGTTTTGAAAATTTGATAAAATATATATAAGTAGGTAAGTTTGCATATAAAAGAAAGAAAATTGGTAAATAGGGTTAGACATGGTGAAGCACACCTTTAATCCCAACACTTGGGAGGCAGAGGCAGGAAAATCTCTGGCTTTGAAACTAGCCTAGTCTACAGAACAAGCTGCAGAACAGCACAGAGAAATCCTGTCCTGAAAGGCAACGGGCTGCAGGTCAATATTAATCTAAGAATAAAAACTTTCCTTGAAGTATCTCCCTGGCTAGCCACCTGATAAAGTTTCAGTAGACACGCTAAAGGCTTGCTTATTTTTTTTTTCTTATTTTACATATCTATCCCATTTCCCTCTCGCTCCCTCCCTCCCATCTCCCCAAACACCCTCCCTTCCCATTCCCCAACACACACACACACACACACACTCCACAGGGAGAGTGGTGTAAAGGCTTGCTTATTATTCAATGCATTTTCTCCCACATAATATGCAAGATATTAATAAAGGTAACTTCCAAAAACACCAGCCTTAACGCATTAAAAAATTCTAATGTCTTATTTTCAATTCAGCATGAATAGCAAATATGTTTGAGTAGATCTGTGAAATGTAATATGTGCTGCCTTCCATGGTTAAGTTTCTTCCAGTTTTTGCGAACACTAAAACTTTCACCATAGTTCCTTTTACAGATGGATAAGTAATTAAATAGTTAGCAACTGTTATTCTCTAGAACTGAATCTTACTTCAAGAATAATATAAAGAAACCAATACATATAAAACATACATTTTATATGTATTCAAATTATTAAAAATCTGTATCTTTATAGCTTTTATGATAACCACTCATATATGTTATTTGAGATCCAGATTTAAAACATGTTTAAAATGTCTTTTAAAACTTAACTCTTTACTTACCAATACTGAGACAATAAATTATCCCTATTGTTTTAGGATAAAGACCTGTTATGTCAGAAATATTTAAGTCAAATGTAATATAGTAGCTAGCTCAATGAACCTATCATTAAATCTCAAACTTTATAAGCCAGATAATTTCCCATCACCATATCAAAAATTAGGTATTTTAATACTAATTCCTTAAAGGTTATAATCTAGTACACTTTTAAGTGATATAAAACAAATTCAATAGGTTTCAACGCTAAATTGATTTTTCTCAAAATTTTCTAAAATTGTTTTAATATGACAATCCTTTATAGTTAGAAAAAATTAAGACTTCTTCACTAAAATAAACATACAACTTATTCTCATTCTGTTGACTAGAGATAGTTAAAGTAAAATCATGCAAGTTCATGACCTTATATATTACTAGATTAAAAGAGTTGATACTGGAATTAAAAAAAAAAAAAAAAAAAAAAAAAAAAAAAAGAATGCTTTAAAGCCAAAGAAAGGCATTCCAGACACCAGTTTCCATTAGGTGCCCATCATGACAGAATACTCTATGATTCAAACCAGTAACAACTGATTGTTACATGTATACATCTGAAAATGTTTACTTGCTATAAAAAATGTGCCAGCTGACTAATATGAAGCAAGTTAAAAATGTTCAATTCTTTAATTCTCTTATGGACATGAGTTATTTCATAAGAACATAGTGAGAAATATAAGAACTGTATGTATTTTTGAGAATTTCATATGTAAGTACTAAATACACATTATTCCTGCCCCAATTCCTCCTGTGCATCCCCAAATTTGTGATCTCATCTTTACTATTTTTACATGTACATACATGCTGGCTAGTCTTATGTCAGCTAGACACACAAACTACAGCTATCTGAGGGAGGCCCGACTGAGAAATGCCTTTATGAGACCCAGCTGAAGGGCATTCCCTTCATTAGTGATTGGTGGGGAAGGGTCTACCCAACTGTGTGTGGTTCCACACCTGGGCTGCTGGTCCTGGGTTCTGTGAAAAAGCAGGCTGAGTAAGCCATAGGAAGCAAGCCATAAGCAGCATCCATCCCTGGCCTCTCCAACAGCTCCTGCCTCCAGGTTCCCACCCTGTTTGAGTTTCTGTCATGACTTACTTTGATGATGAACAGTGATATAGAGATGTAAGCCAAATAAACTTTTTCCTCTCCAACTTGCTTTTTGATCACGGTGTTTCACTGAAGCAATAGAAGTCCTAAGGCAGCACACACATGTATACACAACCTAGTAAGTCCATTTAGTAGTGTTTGAACGAAGAGGTATTCAGGGAAAACCACTTGGTGTAGGACAAGCTGTGCAGAAGCTCAGCCCTGAAGAAAACTGATTATCCCTCTCTTAAATGCCATTGACTGCCTAAAGCTCTTCATCTAAGGAAGAAACTTCTGGAATTTCCCCTCATCCACATTGGCATGTCAATGTTGAAATTATGCAAGTCACATTCAAGCAAACATATCACTGAGATTTCTGGGCGCCGTTTCCCTGCTGTGCCTAGATGACACTATCTAGTGGAATTACATATTTTAAGAGCAGTTGTACTCTAATTGTATATCATCAAAATTAGTTTATGATGGCTCTACTTTTAAAGAAAATTTAATATTAATTTGACTTCATTTGGTACCATTAGAGAAAACAGCATTAGTTAATTAATTCTGTGAACTTGGTTATGTAAGATAGCCCCAACTGTTTCTCGTGTTATAAAATAAGATTGTACATCTATTTTTGTCTCTTCCCTTTCAAGGTAAAATAATTCTTGAAATGGTGGTAGATAAGTGTATAATTGTTAAATCTGTTTATTATTATTGCTAGGTCATCTACAAATGTAACCATTTACCATGGGTACTCTAATAACTGCTTTGTATGAAGTTACTAAGTGCCTTAGTTTCATGCAATGAAACGTAAGTAGCATGCTTTCACCTTATATAAGATAACAAATATCCTATTGCAGAATAATTGCCAGACAGATTCGAACTGTGAGACCATTTCTAAAGAGAAGGCCAAACAGCAACTGCTCCCCAATAAAGTAAAAAACATTTGCCATAGCATGAAATCAAAGGTCCTCAATTCAGAGATGGGGCAGTGGGTGAAGTTTTGGGGGTGTGAGGACCTGAGTCGGGGTACAGGCACAGGTAAAGCTGGGCAAGTAGCCCTGTCTATCATCCCAGGCTGGGAAATGAAAATGAAAAGCTGCCCAGAATAACTAATCAAGGAACTGCCAGTTAAAACAATGAGATTTCATCTCACATCTTTTAGAAATGCTCCCAAAAAAGATGAAAAGTTATTCATTTCCCCCTTCCCTATCCTCCCTCCAATTGTAATCTTCTGCCACTTCTCAGGACTGACCATTTTATGAAGGCCCTAGTGACCTTTGTCCACTCCACATTAGCATGTCTATTGGTATTGTCTTGGTATGGTCAGGGTTGGACAGGGTTGGTAAGACTTTGCAGGTGTAACTTGTGACATTTCTAGCAGACAATCTCATGGGAAATGTGTGGCTTTGTCTCTTACAATCTCCCCTCCTTTTCTGCTGCCATGTGTCATGAGTCTTAGACAGACATGCTCTCCAGCATTTGATATCAGTCTTTTATGTTTTGGCCATTCTGAATGGTGTAGATTGGCATCTTGTTAGAATCTAACTTACTTTTGTTGTTGTTGTTGTGTTTACTGTTCGTGTATTTCCTGCAAGGTATTTTACATAGCTTTAAAGATTTCTTTCTTATTTAAGGAGATGGAAGGTGAGAAATATTGAATAAGGGGAAGACTGCTGAACTCTAAATGTGTGTGCAAATGAGTGCACCTGTTACAGGAAAGCAGTGGATGTTCCTTAAATATTTTGAACTATATGCACCAAACATATACTCATTCTATTTCATAAAAGAAGTTCTACTATATGTAAAGACAGAGGTTAACCCCAAACATAATAGTGGATTACTTCAATGCCCTATGCTCACCAATAGACAACAGTAAACATCTGAGTTCAATGACATAACAGATCTCCACAGAACACTCCATCCAGATACTGCAGAACACACATTCTTCCCAGCAGCACACAAAACTGTCTCTAATTCCGTCATATAATAGGAAACAAAGCAAATCTCAGCAAATATAGGAACACTGAAGTAATTTTCGTATTCTGTCCGACCACAGAGAAACAAAAAAAGAAACCTACATCAAGAAGAACCACAGAACGTACAAATCTCATAAACAGTGAACACACAATTAGATGATGAATAGGTTACCCAAGATCCTAGAAATGAACAAGAATGAAAACAAAGTACCAAAAGCTATGGGACACAATGAAATCAATCCTAAGAGGGAACTTTACAGCTATACTATATTTACTATACTAAAATACCGAACAGTCCAAACCCAAGATCAATAAATAGGAATGATTACAAACAGTGCAGAAATTAATGCAAAGGAAACTTTTAAAAGCATAGATAGAACCAATAAAGCAAGTGTTCATTCTTTTTAAAAGATGAATAATATTTACAAACTCTTAGCCAAACTAACAAAAAGAAAAAACCCTATTAATAAATTTAGAGCTAAAAAAAGGAAATGTTACAACCGGTACCATTGAAGTCACTGAATATACCTTAAAAACTTACATTCCAATCTAAAAGAAATAGATTACCTATCAAAATTAAACAAAGATGAGATAAGAAATTTTTTAGATAAGCAAATTTAAATAGATCTATAGCAAACAAGATTAAAACAGAAAAAAAAAAAAAAAAAAAAAAAACTTCTCAACAACAAAAACAGCCAGACCCAGATGGAGTCACAGCAAAATCCCAGTTGGAACTTAATGAATTGACACAAATGCTTCACAAACTATTCCATAAAACTGAAAGGAAGTCTATGGAACTATTTTTATGAAGCCAATACTATCTTGATACCAAAACTAGAAAAAGACACAACAAAAAGAATTTCACAAAATCCAACATC